AAAAGAACACTTATGCAAAGTTATGGTGTATCAAATGTCTGTGTATCAAATAATATATTTCTTTAATCATTCATTTAAAAAACTGGAAGGTTTACAGCGTATGCAGATCAACGTATAAATATGGAGAATCTCTTGCTCCTTGAACTTTCAAGAATATCATTATCATTAGATAATCTATGTCATTTCCTTCTATGTCATTTCCTGTGTTCAATTTCTGTTAAACTCATTTATGTTTTCGTCGTGTATTGCAGACAAACGATTGTGATTTTCGTACAGTGTTTCGTACTGTATGGATAAAAAAACAAGTGAATTTTTATCGGATTTATTGGTTTATCCGCATTCAAATAACATCTCGTTCGTTTTTACTGTCCTCTCTTTGCCACATTAGTTATAGCTGAAAGCATTACGCTTTATTGATTATACTTTTGTTACGTTAAATATGGAAAAAAACGCTGCAGATGTGTACATTCCGGCTTTTTATGCCGGCCGTAGTATCTTCATCACCGGAGGCACTGGATTTTTAGGAAAAGCACTTATCGAAAAGCTCTTGCGATCGTGTCCCGATGTGGCAGAAATATATGTGTTGATAAGGCCGAAGAAGGGATTAAGCGTTAGGGAGAGACTTAAGAAGATATTAGATAACAAGGTAAGATCAAAATAAGAGTGAACATACGTATACTATATATAGTATTGCGCAAACATATACATATATATGTTTGCGCAATAAGTAAATCATGATTGGTAGAAAAAAATTTGACAATTCATAAGTCTTATAACTATAAAAATGTTTGATATTTCAGTCTAATAAAAAATTTAAATTATTTGCGTTATTCTATTGATTATTAAAATTATAATTATTAAAAATATTTTTAATAAGTAAAAATATTGTGCTTCAAAATTAGTGAAAATTATTTTTTATAAAGAAAAGTTATCTTAAAAATAGAAATCATAAAATCTTTCAATAGTTTTACTTAAAATAGTTTCTAGATTAACACGTTGAATATCTGTAAGTCATCGATAAACTGTATTGATCGATTTATTACCAAAAAATGTATAAAACTTGTAAAAATGAATCTGTAAAATATAATTAATATTAAAGTAACACTCTAAAGTAATAAACTAAAAATATAAATGTGTAAAATATAATTAATGTTAAGGTAAGACACTCTAAAGTAATAAATATATTGCATAATTTTTCATAATTCTACATTATATAATATTTTATTAAGATGTGAATTTAATATTAAGAATTTTACTTTTATATTGCTAGTAAGATAAACAGGTCGAGTACATTATTCACTATATTAATAGTTTATAGAAAATACAATATAAAATACTTTAAAATAATTTTTTAAAAAGTACAAAGACATTGTGTTTTTTAATTTTTAGATCTGAAACTCCAATCAAAACGATTCTTCTTTGCTTTTTATATCATATTCTAATCAATATTTCTACATTAATTTCTTTATATTCTAAATTCTCCTGTTTATCTTTTTTACTCTTAAAATCGAATAAAATTGCAGCTGCAATGTAATATTATATATTCTAATAACTATTAACGTTAATTTAGCTTTTCGACGTATTACGAAGCAAGCAACCATCTAGTTTTGATAAAGTCATTCCTATAACTGGTAATGTAGCTGCTGAAAATTTGGGATTGTGTGAGGCCGACCGGGAGAAATTGATCGATAAAGTGTCTATAATTTTCAATGTTGCGGCTAGTGTCAGATTTGATGAATCACTTAAAGATGCGATTTTCAACAACACTAGATCAACTCGCGATCTTTGTATCTTAGCTGAAAATATGAAACAATTGGTGGTAAATATTATATATTTTTGTTCAAAATCAAATTTGCAATATTTTTCCGCAAATAATTACAAATAAGTATAATTTTAAATAAAATCATCACTAATAATTTTACATGTTTGCCCATGTGTTTCAATGTAAGTTGTAAAGAAATTTTACTCTTCCAAAATTGAATATTGAACTGTAAAGATATTTGTGATTGTTCGACCTACAAATTATAATAAAAATTTATATCAATAAAGATACAAATTTAACATATATAATTATTAAAGATCTTTTAACTTTTTATTATCAAAGAAACATATAAAAAATTTTACACATGTATATATAATATATAAAGTAAACAAGTAGGAAACGGAAAAATAAAATTCGTAAAATTCGTATATCATCAATTTAATTAGCAAACGTAAAACTATAAAACACAAAACTTTCTCTTTATAATAAAAAAAATTTATTTTAATTTTACATTCAATATTGTGTAATAAGTTATGTAATAACAACCAAATGCAAAATGTATTAATTAAGATGTCTGTTATTTTAAAATAAATTTTTGAAGTTAATAATATTCTACTATTTGATTTCCATAAATGATTCGAGGTGCTATTACATGTGAGTTCGACTTATGCACACACAGACAAACCTGTGGTGGAGGAGATTTTATATCCCTCGGATTCGAATTTTGATTGGAAAAAAACGATTAAGATCGTCGAGTCCATCGACGATCATGTTCTCAGAATATCAACAGCGAAGTAAGTTATATGGATGGCGCATAGTACGTGTTACATTATCGCTTTTAAAATATATTCACGTTTATTTTCAGATATTTGGGTATAATGCCAAATACCTATACATTTAGCAAAAGATTGGCCGAACAAATTATAAGTGACTATTCCGAATCACTGCCTTCCGTGATCATTAGGCCTTCGATAGGTGTGTACATAATATATGCACATTATGCTTTTAATCATAATCATATTTTGTAAAAATCACAAAATGATAGAAAATTTTTCTATTTAATTTAGCTCGCTCTTTTATTCACGAGAAATAATATGATTATTATTAAAACCTATACATATATAATAATTTTTTTAACAAAGTGTTTAGTTTATATACGTATATAAAATGTTAGATAATGCAAAATAGAAAATAATTTATTAATATGTCTTATGTTAAACATTATAATAAAAATATAAATAAAATATAATTGAAGAACGAGACAAAATAAAATTATATAAAAAATTGACACAAAAAATGGAATTTTTTTTTTCAGTCATATCGACATTGGATGATCCTGTTGCAGGATGGATAGACAATTTTAATGGCCCGATTGGAATGCTAATCGGTGGTGGTAAAGGCGTATTGCGTGTGTTGTGGTCCGATCCTACAATTATTTCAGATTTTGCGCCAGTTGATGCAGCAATCAAGGGAATAATAATTACAGCTTGGAAACGTGGAATCAAAACGTATGTGACACTTACAAGATAGAACAGTATGACTTGTAATGTTATTTTTTAAAACGCTAGTAAAAGTTTCACATGCATTTTATTTATATTAAGATACATAGTGCATTTTATGCTTCAGTGAGGATAAAACGACTGACGTCTATAATTGTTCATCAAGTCAGATGAAGTCCATGTCCATAGATCATATTGTTCGCATAGGATTTAGCTTTATAAAAGACGTCCCTATGAACAATACAATTTGGAAGCCGGGAACAACAATAACAAAAAGCTATTGGATTTATTATATATCAGTGTTGTTGTTGCACATTTTGCCAGCAATATTCTTAGATGGAGTTATGAAGTTACTTGGTGTTCGCCCAATGTAAAATTTATTTCATTTTTGTATATAAACTTATACAACTAAATTTAAATTTAAAAAATTTTTGTTAATTAAATTAAACTATGCAATTAATGTTTTTTGTTTGCGGATAAATTTTTTTGTTTTAACGATAAAATTCAACTATTTTGTAACAAAATTTTTAACGAAATCATCATATTAACATTTTACATAGCAGACATTGAATGAAATATTTTCCAAAAAAACATTTAATAAATATTTGGCAACGGTATTTTTTGATGTTCAAGATTTGTTGGGCTACATTTTATTTTCTAAAATTAAATTATAAAATATATAAAATAAAATTTTCTGTTGAAGTTTTTTCTAGATACCAGTAAAATATATCTAATAAAATGCTTAATATTTGTAGCTTGTTCAGAATTCAAAAAAAGGTATACGTGTCTAACAAAGCCTTGTCGTATTTTTTATTCAATCAATGGAAGTTTGTTAACACGAAGTTGCTAACTACGTTAGATAATCTTAGTGCCGATAATAAGAAAGAATTCGAATTTCCTTATCAAGTTGTCGACTTATTGGAGTACTTTAAGTAAGTTCTACTTATTACATAATTACAATGTAATAAAATTCTATTTACATGGTGACATATCCTTCTTTGCAGGAAAGGAATGATTGGTGCAAAGTTGTACTTACTAAATGAAAAGATAAATGACCCAGAAACCAAACGTCACTATAACAGGTGAGGCGCATCTTATGAAATAGGATGATAGGGTCTTGCTGCAACTGTTGATTATTCTCGTCTAGAATCCATTTTTATCGGAAACATTCTTCGAGGTTAATTAAGTGATGTGGTAGTGTTTCACTTTAAGTACATGTGCCATATAGTTTTCACAAACAATCGAAAGTAAAAGATTAGTTATACATATTGTAAAGTTAAAGTCACATTGAACACGCGCCATCTAAGAATCCGACATAACGTCAACTACACTGCACACGGGACGAAAAAATTATACTTTATCATAAAATTAAGATAACGGCAAGATTATTAAGAAAGATAATACGGAGCAATAGAAAAATTAATAAGTAGATGAAAAGTTAACAACAGCGCTACCTGACGTCGCAAAGTTACGTACACACAGCGTTGTTTGGTCGATCGTGGTGTTGTCAGCTGGAAATTAGGTCATAAGTTTTGTACGTGAAAACAACTCTACAAAGCTCGACAACCGACAAAAACATTCGACAAATCGAATAAAACCGACAAAATTTTACTCAAAAGAATCAGATGTTTGCTAGACTTTTTGTCTAATTGCAGCGTTTGTTTCAACACAATTGACAAATTAACTTTTTTTTTGTTGAGAAACATTATAAATTACATATGTTATATTTACAGAGGTGTGCGAATAGTTCGAATTCGAATCGAATCGAATCGAATCGCAACAGATTCGATGCGAGTTCGTTTTCGAATCTGCAAGATTCGAAATCGAATAGTTCGAGAATTTCGAATCAACAATAGTTCGATTTCGAATCGATCGCCTATTTTATTT